AGGAGGGAGGAGGGAGGAGGGAGGAGAGAGGAGAGAGGAGAGAGGAGAGAGGAGAGAGGAGAGAGGAGAGAGGAGAGAGGAGAGAGGAGAGAGGAGAGAGGAGAGAGGAGAGAGGAGGAGAGGAGAGAGGAGAAGAGGAGAGAGGAGAAGAGGAGAGGAGGAGAGAGGAGAAGAGGAGAGAGGAGAAGAGGAGAGGAGAGAGGAGAGAGGAGAGAGGAGAGGGGAGTTGTAGGTTCTCAGGTCCACAACGTAGGTGAGCATAACACCCATCGACAATAAAAAGGTTGTAGCGCAAAGACTGTCAGAGACTGTCATTGAACGTTTGGGGATCCTGCACTGGACGTAGGATTGTCATTGGACTTGGGGCATCGCCTTCCTGCAATTGCATCTCGCGTGTAGACACTTTGGCACAATCGCTAGACACATTTGTACTCCCGTACCTCATCCGTGTGTGCGTAGGACAGAGCCTCCAAATCAAGAATACATGGAGTGGTAAGGCAGGGCACATGCAAAGGCAACCAAAGTTGTAAATTCCTGTGCTGTTCTGCTCTGAATCTACAGGCGCAAATTCCTCTTGGGCTGCTGCAGTTCGCGGGGTGGCCACTTCAACGATGTACCTGCTTCGCTGAGCCGAACGACAACTGATCCAAAATCTCAGTGCATGAACACAACAGCACATATTCTGCTCTACATGAAAGTTGGCACAAGCTTCGTGCTCGTCGGTCCTGGAAAAGCGACAAAAGGACATGCCATATTCATCTATACCCGAACTCTAGATTCACACTGCCTCAATTCGCTGCGTGGGATTCCTAGCCCACTATCGCATTGGCGTTGTCTCAAATTCCTTTTCCCGAAAAGTGCTCTTTCGCTTCCCTTTTGCGAATCTTTCGCCTGCTTTTGCGCCCACTGCGAAATGCAAATTCTTTCCTCGGTTGTTATCTCTATAATATACTATACTTGTGTGTTGCTGTTTGTCGTTTCATGGCCGGTTTCTACTTGTTTGTTGGGTTTGTGGTTTCGTGGCCGGTTTACAAACAAATCAAAGTCTAGAGACAAGTCGAGTTACCTCCTACTAGTACGGTACGTCTTTCGCGGGGGGCCCTTCCCGATGCATATTTGTCTTTCGTGAACCTGTCACGATGTTTCCTCCTGCCTTCCAGCAAAAAAACATTTCTATCAGCTATCGAGCATGCAGAGAGCCAAGCATGAATCATGCAAAGCTAGACCATAACTGCAATGCCAACAAGAAAGGATTCAAACAAACAAAGATCCTGCTTTTACTCTTTTAAGGCTTGAAGGTGTGGAAACAAATCATCTTGGACGCTTGCAAACATTGGTGCACAAGCAAAGCAAATGCAAAGATCGTTGAGGGGATATCTACCTGTATACAGTAGATAGTCTTAGTAGACTCGTCTTTTGCAAACTATTCGCTTCCCTTACGCAAGTTTTCGCGACGTGAACGGTGGACCTTTAACAACATGACATGGAAACTCGATTCCTAAATCCTAGACTAGGGTTTTTGGGCAACTCCCATATTTTGTTACAGTAGGGCGTACACTCTGTGGACAACCTGGAAGGTTTGGTCCTCAAAACCGGAAGGGGCTCGTCCACGGGCGGAAGCCGGAGCAGTCACCTGCCACTCATAAGCAGAAATGTTGAGAATTAAACATAAGCAAAGTTGCACACTGACTTTCAAAGTTGTAGGGCCAACATGCGGCTACCGGCCTCTGCCGAATTCCACCAAGCCTCAGCAATCCAAGCACTTCATGGGTCGAATGCTTGTTAGAGCGAAGGTCCCGGCAACCGGTGGCCTTCCTCTGGGCGTATGAGGAGTGGTTACCCCTGCAAGCAAACAGCAACAATAAATGCGCAGCATAGCACAGCCTACAGCCTAGCACCGCGTCGCACAGCCTTCACGTAAACATAGATTTTGAGAAAGGTGTGTCAGGTCAAGCAGTGGCAAGTCCTGACAAGTTGACACGTTGGGAAGAGATGTCGGCGCTCAAGTGTACGAGTTTCGGAAAAGAACCGAGGGTCCCACCATGCGGTTTTGCCTCGGGGGCTCGTCTGCACATCTTAATAATGTGAGTGCTCGAAGCTCATTGTCTAAAATGTAGTAGTCAGTGTGGTCCGTGTCATCCATCATATCTGAATTTGAATGCCCGAGTTGTTCTTCGAACAGCAGCAGCACGGTCTACTCGGTATCTTTTTAGAGTATGTCCTTTGCCCAGTCTTTTCATGGAAACCCTGAATCACTGGTCAAACGAACCATATGATTTGCAATCCCATAGGGCCGTAGGATAAGAACCACTTTGGCGCACCTGGTGGCATGGTTCCAATTCTGGCATATGCTGCCTCGGTTGGTTCCAAGCCCAGTTGCCAGCTGCATACATTGTCTCATCTTGCCTCTTATTTATCACTATCTCACTCGCTTGGTCAAGTACTGGAGCTGCTTGAGAGACCTTGGAGGTTGCACAATCACTGGAATCTAACAAGCCATCGAGCCCGGTTGCAGGCTGGTGTCTCGCGAACCACCAGCAACTACCTAGCATCAAAAACCATAAAGGACAAGAAGTGTTGCCAAGCCAAATGTAGAAGAAGCAGAAGCACAGTAACAAGTGGAAGTGGATTCAAGGAACGGACCAGCATCAGAAGAGGTGAGCAATGCATGGCACTTGCACACACAATTCCGTGCCTCTCTTAATTGCCCTTCAAATGATCTGGGCAATGCATGGCACTTGTCCTCAAGCAGTTGGCACTCTTGCAATGTAGCGGCCGTTCCGACCATTAGACAAGCTGTCGCACTCTTCCCATAAACGCAGCAGGCCTTCACAAGCTTGCACTGTGCACCGGGAAGGTTGCTTCGGTGTCCTTCCATGTTAAAAGTAAGGGCTCGGTTGTGTGTAGAATCATTGAGAGCCTCCATGTGAGGCACATTGCCGAGCGCCCATCAAAGCTCTGGCCTCAAAGATCGGATCCAAAAGCACAGCAGGTAGATAGCTGGAAGCATTGTCGATCATTGTGGAAGTGGCTTGCTGAGAACGTAGCTATCACAGTCGGCTCTCTTGCTCGAGTTTGTAATGTTTGCGCCAGTACAGGCCTTAGTTCTGCAAACAGAATCTCCTCAAGTTGCTGGATGACAAAACGGTTGATGTCCACTTTGTTGCTGTTGCTCGCTTCCATCTCTACCTGAATGTTACGTTGAGTAACTATGATTAATTATATATGTGGTGCAGCCATGTGCAGCCAGGTTACCGTTTGGAGTTCATGACAAATCTTCTTGGCAAAATTCTGACAGCACATTGCTCCTGGACGGTCTGAGCTTCTACAGCTCACAGTAAAGAAAGCTGTACCCTCCAAGCTTCAAGTTTCAACAAAATCTTCAACCAGGTCGTCCTTCTTTGAAGACGGTGGTCGCACTCTTTCCATTGATGGTGCCTGACTTTCTTCTCAACTTCCTCACAATAGGACCCCCAAACGGATTGCTCAGGCTCAGGAGCCAAGGTTGTGCTTTTAGGCACACCTACACTTCCTTCTTTCGTGTCACAAATCATGCACTGGCCTGCATCCTGGCATCCATCCTGTGTAAGGTCGAGTTCAAGAGAATATTCAGCCATCGCAAGATCCAGTTCTCCCCGTCGAATATCGAAGTTTCGGCGCTGCAATGTAAGGGCGACCCCCTTGGAGATCCGTCGGGCCTTTCAGGCCTTGCCTTCGGTTTTGACCTTAGATAACGATGTTTTGTTAAGGGGGGGTAGGCCGCCATTAGAGGTAGGTTAGCTAGGTAGCTATCTAGTAGAAGCCAGGTAGCCAGTAGCTACAAGTATATATATATAATATATAATCTACTAACGACTGGGCAGGATAACTCACGCTTCTTCAAGGAAGCTCCCCAACGCCTTTAGAAGCCTCCTTGAAGAAGCGCTCGCACTATTCATTTGGTTCCTAGACTTTCAAAGGACACTTAACGGTTCAAATGTGCGCTTGGCTATGCTTGGCTGCTAGGTTCCCTGCACGGCGACTGCAGGGCAGAAAGAGACTATGGAAGGAAAGGATAGCATGCAAGGCATTGATTGACAAGGCTCAGTGAATTCCAAGAACTAAACCCTTTACTGGGATTCATGTATGATTACCAGTAGCATGTGTCTTGCCATCGCCTTTTGGACTTGGAGATAAGAGGCGCTGTGCCTTAACACACCGTGCCACGCAAAGCACTGTTGTTGGAGGGATACTGGAAACTGGGTGTCACACGGCCAGAGCTGGACGAGAAGACTTTTCAGTTTGCTGTGAAGGGCGCCTCAGCCTACAGCTTTTGGCTGCAAAAGTCAGAGAAGTGGCGCCCTTTGAGTGGTTCGATCTAAGGGTCTTGATCTGAACTGCTATAGTCTATTGTAGGCAATTTGAGTAGAGGTCACAGGTGGTTAGGACAAACACCGCACAACCGCTTGGGCATGCTTGGCAAACATGAACAAGTCCAGCTGAGGGAGTGACAAAGCTCCGCAAGGGCGATCGGTCAGGGTGCGACCTGGAGAGAGGTGCTTGTCATCCACGCATTCAAGACCTCCCCAGGCTGAACTTTCCTGCTTGATGGATTAAGACTAAGAAAGAATCTTAAACACTTTGCCGTATGGACCAAACAATCCAACGCTCACTATCAAGAAGGGGTATGCTTATTCCCGGAGCCTGGAGCACGCAGGTTTCTCTGATTGGCTTGAATGCTTCCTTCGCTGCTTGCTTTGCTTTGCGCAGCTTCAGTTACTGATGTTGCACACTTGACTCAGAAGCAAGTAAGTGCGTCCACTCTCTCCTAAACCAGTGGACCAAAGGTTACAAGAACTCTTGTCGCCTGCAGTTTGGCGAGGTCCATCTCGCTGGGGGGAAGAAGCCTCCGTAGACAACAATTGTTGACACAGTTGACACTCACATTACTGTATGTTCATCACATTTCATCATGGTTTGCCGGATTGAATCTGAAAAGTATGTACATCACCGCGTCCTAAAACCCATTGATCCCGAATCACCACAAGTTCCACCAACACCAGTAGTCAAAGTTCTCTACTACTTTCGCTGCGGCACGCGCCGACCATGCAAAAAAAGAATCGCAGAACATGTGGAGCCTTCATATCAGCCCATAAAAGGGGATTGGTTTAGGCAGGTGAAACTAGCTGAAACCATTTGGTTGCACCTTCGGAGTAAGACGTGATTCACATGTCATCACAATTTCAAGGCTGGAACTACATAGACTACAACTGTCGAGGAAAGTTACCAGGAAAGGACTAGAAGAGAAATGTAGAAATGAAAGGGTCAGTCGACTGACTACCTTCTGCGATTTCTCTTCTGAAATGAGCTTCCGTTGTTGTTGTCATGATGGCTCGTCCATCCACGCCTCTCGCACCGGACGTACAGCACTGCAAGCTGGAAGCAGCTTCGGCGATCTGGGCGCCCAAACACAATGAAACACTGTGTATATGCTCGACAAAATGTATATAAATGTTGACCACACTGAGTACATCTCGCGGGTGGGAAATGCTGTCAATTGGACAATGGAGACAAATGTCTTGCGTATGCCGCACCGTTTTAACCCTTTGCTCCTGCGTCCAAAAAAGAATCACTGGGCCCCCCACTGCCGAAGCATCTTGAGGCGTGCAGAACGTCTTCGCAACTGCAAACACGGAAAAGACACAAACAAATTCCGAAGCTGTGCCCATCATAAAGCAATAGACATATAAAATGCTGCATGTTGAACTTGTAGTACAGGACGGTAGAGTACAGGAACATCTCGTGTGAGGTCGAGGATGCGCGGTGGGTTCACTGTGGGCGTTTCCAAGTTCCATTGATATGTGGAGAGACTTACTGTCAACTTCCAATTGAATTGGCGGAAGGTGCGGAAGCAACAAGGCTCGACGACGGAATGCTGTGACTGAGTCACGCTTGCACTGAATTTCCTGTACCCCACAGTTCAATTGATGGCAGTCGTTTGCTCTAGCACCTAGCATGCCCGAGAAAGGCCAAAAACCTCACAGGTCACACAACAAAGAACATGCCATGAACTCCCTAGCTGAAACAAAATCACCCCGTGGGTACCTCACCATTTAGCTAGCCATATAATATAGCAGCTCAGCCAATTCCACACTTAGCTAATTCGACGCATCACTTCCTAACAATTTTAGTTTCAACGTTTGGCCAAATCACCACCGAGCTGCTTAAAACTTGGGTACCTCACGTCCTAGCTAGCTCGTCACTCAGCTAGGTGCTAGATGGTGCTAGATTACTACTTACCTAGCTCGACACTTAGCCAGCTAGTTTGCTAGCTCCTTACTTGACCATTCACCAAAAAGCACATCACCCACGGAAGATGAAACTTGTCTGCAACTCAATAGATGATGTAGGTCGATTGTTTGTGCGTCCGGCAACATGTGCTTACTGTAGGTGCCGCTTCTCTTGAACTTCAGGACCCGACACTGAATGCATAGTCTGAATCATCCATCGGTCTCATTTATCTCCGTCCGGTGTTATACACTTTAGGCCAAAGAGTCACCCTGCAGAGCGCCTCATGAATTTCGGAGTCCTTCTTCTCAATCTCAAGCTTCATTTTGCGCACATCCTTCAGAACCTGCTTTCAGTCCAGGATGGAATCAACCCTGGCTACCTTGTGAGTCATGAGCAATCACGCCGCCTCTGATGTTTCTTTCTGCAAGCGACCCAATTCTTCCTGAGATGTGTGAAACTCAGGAAATAATCCAAGATGTGCAAACTTGTGAAGCTGAGGACTGTGCTCGCAACCGATTGTTGGTTTCTCTTGCTCCCTGTCCACTTAGATGTGTTGAGGCTTCAGGCACAGCAAGGAACCCTGAGATGCAAACCTGACATGGATCATCACGCAAATCCTCTGCATCAATATGGCCTCCATAGATCTGACGAATGGAGCGTTCGTTGCGAGGCACCCAAGACTCGCATGAGACTTTCCATCCATGCATCAAGACTCTCGCGGGGCCCAAAACGGAGCAGGGAGGATTGAAGCCGCCTGCCAAACCTAAAACAACACAACATGACAACCTTGTCGTGACAATGGTGCCTAGATACAAAGTGTCAGGCTGCAATGTCTTCAGAGTGTCAGCTTGGGCACATTGTGCAGGGTCGAGCCTTGCTTTGAAAATGATTGAAGTGTTCTCTCGGTGAGCTGCGACGTTCGCAAGCTGAGGTACACGCATCAGAAGCATTGTAGTTTTACAATCCTTGCGTTTATGTGCTTTCAAGTTCTCCATATATAAAGGGCCCCAAAGAAGATTGAAAAACGGCTGCAACTTCAAACAACTGTTAAAGTCACGCAAGGTAAACACAAACAAAATTCCGCCGACCCCGGTCTAGGCCGATGAACGTGAGCGTGAGCGGAACGGGGCCGGCGTGTTCCTCTTGGGCAATGTTTCTCAGCCGGCACATTAGCAAACACTTGCCCAAAAATGAATCCCGCTTCCATGACATTTGTCTAAATTCTTCTCTTCTGGGGCCGTCAAGCGGTGCCCCATGCTTTGGTCCCGGGCTCGACTCCCCCTGCGCGTCCTGGACCCAGTCTGGCGCCCTTTGGATTGAGGCAGCGGGAGGTAAAGCCCAGGCACACCGCATGGCACCCCGCGCGCCACCAGGCGAAGATAAGGACCCCGTGTGCGCAGTGCCATGCGGTGTGCTTGGCTTCAACCCCGTACCGTCTTGTCTTCCTGGGATTACACCAAGCTCTTCTCTGATTTTAAAAAGTCCTTTACGTCTTCGTTTGCTCCCCGAGCAGGTGCGGGCCTAAGCCCCACAAAACGGGCCGGGCAGGCCCTGGCACACCCTCCTGGACGTTCGGGGATGATCCCTGGAGCCTCGGCATCGTTAGCACCCTACCCTACCGGCTCGGCAGCAACCTGAGCTCGCGGAGTCCTCTGGGAGCCGGGAGGAAATGTTAACCGGGCTCAAACGTGTCTCAGTCTGTCTGTCTCGGTGCGCCTGTCTCGGTCTGTCAGTCCGTCTGTCTCGGTCGGGCAGGACACACGGACGAGCACATGCAAAGATGTCAATTGTCTGTCTCCGTTTGTTTGTCTGTCTCGGCCTCGGTCTGTCTCGGCCTGTCCATCTCGGTCTGTCTTGGTCGGTCTGTCTGTTTCGGTCTGTCTGTCTCGGTCTGTCTATCTCGGTCTGTCTTGCTTTGT